AAACTTTTAATGAGTTTTGAAATCAAATTAAAAGACCCTGTAATAAAATAAGGCAAATTTACATGATAAAAAAGCTCTCTGTTAAATTAATTATAATATTTAATTTTAAAAAGGCTAAATAAGAAAACGCATTATTCACAAAGTAGGATCAATAATTATAAAATAATATCATTCACGATTGGTTTCTAGGCACAATGTATAAACATTACATACTACAATATTTACATCGGTCAGCTTGATATTTTGTATAATATATAATTAATATATGTTATCAAGTGAATTTTCTTTTAAGATACTTTTCTAAAAAAAAATAATAAAAATCAAAAATTATTATCCAGGTATGTGCAAAATGCATCACAAGTAGAAAGGTCAACTACAGGGTTGTCTTCTAAACAATCATCTGTTAAATTAACAAAACAACTAACGGTCTTAATGATTTTAAATCAAATGAGTGAGCAATTAGTGATCAATTAGTAGTACGATTTTGTATATTTTTATGTGAAAGAAAACGAAATGATAAAAATAAACGTTTTTATACTTATTTATAAGCATATAAATTGTAATATTAGGCCACAGAATCTGATAATTATTTTCGAAAGCAGTGTTTATTTAATCTAGCGATAATTGACGGTTAAAACTATTAATTATTTTAAGTTATTGTTCTTGATTTCTCAACTAAGAATTTATTCAACAATTCTCATTCATAGCTCAAGTCTGTGCACTTCCGTACCATTGTGCGATTTTTCCTGTTATTATGCCAACAATTTTCGCAAAAACTCAAGTACATTAAACCTACTTGATGTATATAGCTGTAACTTTAGTATTTTCTTCAAAAAAATGCAATATATCGATATTGGAGTTTCAGAAGATTATTCAAGTGATATTATTCAGTTATTTTAAAGCATTTGTTAGTGTTAGGGCATAAGTTCCAAAACTTTTTTGTGTCCTGAACCCCGTGAACTTAGCCATGAACCTCTTATTTACTCAATATTGTTTTTTAAGTTATAAAAAGTCAGGTATAAGTAAATATATATTATTAGCATGGTGTGTTGTCATTCACTGCACCATTTTCATTTGACTCTCCCAATTTTTTTTGCTGACGTGGACTATTTGAAAATTGTCATGGTCCCCTGGGGGTCCAAGTGGACCACTTTGGGAATCACTGGGTTAGGGTATAGCTACTTTTGAGTACTTTTAACTATACATTTTAGAATGCGTAAGCAGATTGATAAAACTTTTTTTTAAGTTTTGAACACAAATTAGGACTTAGCGTTTCTATGAACTGTTGTGATGAGTAATTTCCTTTCCCTCGTGGTTTTTTAGAAGACGATTGGTCTTCAATATATTTGCCATATTTTGTTATCAGAGAAATCAAGATTATGATCAAATCAAGATTATTGCTGTTTGAATCAATGTCGGAAAATGGTGATTTTCACTTGAAAACATATTATCATCCATGTTTTGTTGAAAGCCGATATTAGTAATGGTATCAGGTTGTACGAGTTATAGAGACTGGAACCTTTTGGTTCGAAGGACAAATCTCTTACCAAGTGAGTCATGGTGAGCCCAAATGAGGTATGATCATAAAATACTAAAGTTGAATGATCTCATGATGAACTGCATTAGCATTAAAGTCCATTATGCATGATTATCATTTAAAATAAAGCTTTGAAATTTAGGTTTGTAGTACGAACTTCATAACAATGAGAAAGCATATCGTTTATACTATTATTGTCAGTTATCATATACTACATAATGCGCTTTTGTTAGACAAGTAATATTTCTTATTGTTGAGTAGGTAAAATTATACATATCTGAACGCTTTATTTATCTTTACTTGAAAATTGAATTCACATAAACAATGGCAAGAGTTTATATTACATGAGTGAAAACAGAAACAGAAAGTGCAACATTACGATTATTGTTTGGAAAAAATATTTATTATAAGTGGGAATTCCATATGAAAAAGTGTCTAAATGACTTATTTAATACTTTTAATTTTGTAGAGTTTAGTAAAGGTCATATAATTTGGGTTTAATTAAACATTTATTTTTAAATAGGCTTTTTTTTATTAAACACGGAATTCATTCTAATTTGAAGTGTGTGAATAAATTATAATTAAATGAATTAAGAACCATAAGCAGAAATATCTCTACCAACGCTATTTGCATAATGTTCGAAATAATTAAATCGCTTCACACAAGCAATAATATTTTAATAGGTCTGTTTTAACTATTAATTCTATCACCATGCGAAGTTTCATACAAATCCTAAGTAAACCAGAGGGAAATCTTTTTGTACCAAATTTTAATATTTGGATAGAATATATTTTCATTCGATTAAGCAAATTATCATTAATATTGTGACATTAGATTATGCATAAAGATTATGATCTTTTTTGCAAATTGTTGCCGAATTTTTAATAAATAATTCATATGAACGTCTTTCTCTGTTAATTTTCAATGTAATAAATTGCAAATGAGAGCAGTGTGAAATATATTCACCAAAAATTTGAGCGGACAATGTATCGTCTGTTATTTTTGTTTATTCCCATTGCATAATTGAATTAATAAAATTGTGTTGCAATCATCATCGCAGACTATGGTATTCCAAACTAACGCAAATGACATTCAGTGGTGCTCAACGAGTTTTAAATAAATATGAACAATTTTATCTGCTTTTCATACTCATAAGTGAACTTTGAGATAAATAGATTGGTTTTAATTGGATATCATTGATGCTCGAAATTGTGCAGTCAGAAATGTTCTTTTTCTTAAAGACAACAGATTTAATCATTGATTTAGACATTTAGTCATCATTTAGTCATTGATGTTCAAAAATTGTGCTACCAGAATCGATTTTTTCTTAACGACATGAGATTTAGTTATTGATTTTGACTTTTATCTCTTTAATGCTCGAAAATTGTGCGGCCAGAATCGATTTTTTATTAACCACATGAGATTGTCATTGGTTTTTGACTTTTAGTCATTGATTCACAAAAATTGTGCAGTCAGAATCGATTTTTTCTTAACGACATGAGATTTAGCCCGAAAATATTTTTGAGATTAACTTTGAATTCAGTCATTACCATAAATTATTAAATATTATTAGTCATTACCATAGCATAATTATTAAATATGGGAATAATTATGATTATTATTCAAATTCAATCCATTCTAATTTCAAATTTTAATAATATATTTGGACATAACAATTAGCTTCAGGAAAACTGTGGTCAGATTCAAGTTCTCTTTGATATTAGACTTTCAAGATAATAAAAAAATATTATATATTTGCTTGATCTTATTTCATAAGATACAAAAACGTTACAATTTTGACGAGGTAATAAATAATTTGAATGTATTTTTTTAATGTCATTTCTTTTATATTTTATACCTAGCTTAAACACATTTGCTTTTCGTGGTTTATTAGTAAGAGATTTAGCCTCGCAATTACAAGGGACATTGCTTCAACGATTTGAAAATATGATCACAATTAGAAAGGAATCATACAATCATAACACATTAGTTGTCTTTCTATACAACAACTTTTGGGTAATAAATTCGCTGCTAATAAATATAAAAAACAGTGAAAATTATTTTTATGAATAATTTTGCCTTTATATGGAGATTATCCAATCATATCACAGTAAACGGACTTTTCTTTAAATTTTATTATATATTAGAAATGTTACAGGGGGAAGTCCCGTAACGCCGGACGGCACCTACCACCGTACACTCTATTTAACACGTATTATTTAAGCGAGTATAAATTTTTTTATTTTAATATACAAGTGAAAGGGGCGCGGAGGGCACACAGATGTAGGATCACGCGCCAAGACTTATCTGGGACGCACACGGCCACGGCGGGAGGAACCGTTTGCTGTTTTAGGCACAAAATCACGGCGTCACCTATATATCAATGAAAGTAATTCTAGTATATTTATGCATTTACATTTGAGTAGCATTCGAAGATGAAAGTAGTACTTGATGGTTATTCGTAAAATGGTAGAATATTATTAGATATTTTAAACAATTTTAGTAGGTACCACCAAATGAACGAACATGCCCTGTCCCTTAGTACCGGGCACTAAGTCGTCCCTTAGCGCCGGACAGTAAACATATTGATATTTCTTGTGGGAATGGACGTAATTTATTCTAATTATTTAACTTTGTTATGTGTGAGTGCTAACGGTCACTACATACCCCCATTTTTTGTATTTCCTAGTCAAAGAATGAAAATCTTATGATGAATGCTCCAGCTGATAGCATCGGTGTGGCCCAGCCAAAAGGGTAGATAAATAGTGATTCTTTTTGCAATATCTAAGAATATTCGTCGAACACACATGTACAGACATTCCAGAGTGTGGAGATGGATACATATTAATTCTATGCTGGATATTTTGAAATGTCCGGTACTAGGTGCCACTTTGTAAAATCATATTTTTTGTTGCCAAAGTTTGATTGATAGTATTAATTATTTTTTAGCAAAGGTCGCGTTCTCGTTAATTTAGTTTGATTTCTAACTTTGTTATATAACATAAGTCATAATTTAATAAACATTTCGTCAAATATTTTTTGATTTATTAATAAATAACTATATGCTTATTCCAATAACTAATATGAAATGAAATTATTAAACAGAGGTTTAAATATCTGCACCTTGAGAGCCTTTGAATGTCTGGCTGGACGCTTTCGGCTTACTACGAAGTTGCATTCTTGTTTTGTGTTTTGGTACAATAAAATATTACGTTATTTTTATTATTAGCTTGTTTATGACGTGATATGTCGAGTTGATGTCCGCTATTGAAATATCACAACAACGATTGCATTGCGTTCGTCTTGTCTGAATTGTTGCTGTTGAAACAACGCGAAAACGCAAAAAGAATAGAGTTCTAATGTGAGTGATTCGCCGATTGCTTCATACTACTTTATGGAAGATATCGCTTGCTGGAGAACGAATATAATGGATTTGTAGGAAGATTTGATAGTAAACTTTACCTTTAAATTCTGTCATGGTTACGAAGAAGTATGGTTTTTTTTTGATATTTTACAGCAATCAATTACATGCTCTATATGAGCAGTATTGATCACAGATTATTACTAGGGACAACGTTATTATTAGGCAATCTATTTACTGCCTCACTACTATCTGATATATTTTTTAAACAGTGTTTTCGGACAACCTCACCGTTGTTTTTCTAATTGGGATATTAAAGCAACGCCCCGAAGGGCTATTTTCACTTGGAAACACTTTGCTATCTATATTTCAAAATGAAAACTGATGTCACATATTTAATTGGGATATTAAAGCAAACGCCCGAAGGGCTATTTTAACTTGGAAACACTTTGCTATCTATATTTCAAAATGAATCTGATGTGTACATATTTAATTGCGATATACTAAGCAACGTCCCGAAGGGCCATTTTCACTTGGAAACACTTTGCTATCTATATTTCAAAATGAAAACTCATGTCACATATTTAATTAGGATATTAAAGCAATGCCTCGAAGGGCTATTTTCACTTGGAAACACTTTGCTATCTATATTTCCAAATGAAAACCGATGTCGTCGATCTGGGACTATTGCTTGACATCAGGCTGGCCGAGGCAGGTATCGAGTCTAGGACTTCAGTTTGAAATGGCATTGCTCTAACTATGTGGGAGCCAAAGTAATATAGTAACAACGTTTTTTTTGCTAGTTTAGATTGCTACATATTTATAGAGCCTTTTATACCATCTACTCACAATAATGTTTGAAGATTTTATTATCTTATTATAAGATTTTTGATAGCTAATTGTGGGTGTGCAAAATCTAATTATGTATACAATTACAAAAATTGTTGTGACGAGAACTAATATTAAAACTTGATTATGAAAACAATGCATATTTTTTTCAATATCCTCATTTATAATTAATTTTGTTATTCAATATTGCAGCAGTAACATTTTTAAACAATTATACTGCAAAAATTATTATATAATTAAAGTAATTTATTTATATTTACACTGGCTAACAAATTAATAAATTCGAAACGTTTTATAATTAAGCATCATTTAATTAAATAGTGCAATAAGAGTGTGATATATTCATATTCTCAAAGATATATATGCACAGTACATATTTACTTACTTAGAGACTGGTCATTTCAAATTAACGTTTTTATCGAATAAAAATTGATTGTTCAAGATATTAAACAAATTTGAATAAAATTGTGAGAAGTCATCGTAATAGTATCTAATTACTTTTATTCAATTGTTTCTTGCTTTGTTTAATTAATATTAATTAAATTCAGTTGATGCACGTGTTGAGAGAAGATTATATTTGAAGACTTTATACGTGAAGAGAGAAGATATATTTCATTGCAACTAAAATATCCATTGCACGAGAAATGTTTGTTGTTTTTTCTTCCAAATGATTACCACTAATATAAGAGTAAATATATTTTTTTCTATGAAATTTGCAATGTATTTCTTCACTAAAAATGATTGAAATGCATAGAATTCTTTTGCTTCTGTAATTTTGTAAACTATATGCATTCCACTAAAATTGGAAATAAAATATTTTGAATAAGAATTTTTTAAGTTAAAAAAAATTTTGTTTCTTTTACTAAAAATTAGATAATTGTAATTTCAGTAGAAGAAATTTAGTCTTATTTCAAAATAATCAATTGAAATCAATTAAATCTTGTTTGAGTTTTTTTTAGTTAAAAGCATGTATTTGGAAAATTATAAAAACATGCAACAATTCTATGTGTTTTATAATAATTGGTTGACTAAATATTAATAAAAAACATTCTTCAATAATCAGTTTTTTAATATATAATGCGCCTGGTTGTCGGTAAAATCGTATAAGTTTAGCTATTGTTCTTATCTAAACAGATCGTTATAGAAAAGTAATTATCTATTTGTGATTAATTCAATTAGAGTTCATACATTTTAAAATTGTTTGAACAACTTTTATTATAAAACTAATTTTAATTTTTTATCAAGGTTAAAGACTTTTGTCATTCTTTCTACGAACCAACGTATGATGAAGTTGTGGATTTGTGTGATAGGTTGCACTACCGCTTATATTCTAATATATGCTTTAGCAATACCCAATTTTATTTCACTAAATTGATTTAATTAATAAAATAGAAATAGTTTCAGATTCTGTATTTTTATCATTATCATCCTAAGTTATCGTGGAAAATGGTTGAACTAAAGGATCATATTTTAAATATTACATTTCAGTTTATATGAAAATGTAGTTAACGAGAGCATTAATTTTTTGATTTCAGATATTGCAAAGAGAAAACTAATACATTTTTATACATTCTAGGAGTATTTTATTATTCAATAAATGATGAATAAGTTTTATTTTATATAAGTTTTATACAATTTGTAGTTTTCTCATAATTCATCCAAGCTGAGTGAATTCAACTATGTTTGATCAATAAATTAGTATACTTTTTAAATTGCAGAGCTAAAACATGAGTTACCAAATTTTACACGTGTTATGAATTTAATGTGAGTGCTATTTTTCAATAATTCAAAAAATATGGCTATTAAAAGTGTTACGAGTTTATCGTATTTACTTTTTACTTGATCAACATCGCAGTGAGCAAATACGTTGTTCTGTAGATATTAAATTTCACTGCACCTGTATTTACTTTAGTTTCTTATAATGATGCTAATAGAATTAATTTCTAATTTAAATTAGCTCTTGATATTAATAAGAAGTATTAATTAATTTTATGCATTTGCACTCAGTAATGCTCATTCGTTTAAATATTTAACTATCATAAAAGTTATGAGAAGGATATAATCTAACATCATTTGCAAAATATAATGGGTATAAAATGAAATGAATGAATCTATATGAAGATTAAAATATGCAATTTTTGAATGCCTAATTATTGTAATAATTCTTTCTTAATATGTATTTTTCACTCTAAACATTTTTTTTAATTTTTTAAAGTCTATTATAAAGTGTGAATTTAGTATTGTGCTTCTCAAATTTAATTCTTTTTATCATCTTCAATTAATTTGTCATATTATTGAAATAATGATGGAAAATGAAAATAATTAAATCCAATTAAAAACTTAAATAAGCAATTCTTGAATGTCTTGTATAATCTGCGGTTAATTTGCGCGATTTAATTATTTTTCAATATACATTATTCTATCCTTAACATATTTACATGCAACCGAAATATTTTAAATTTTCAATGTAAATTAGAAGGTGAAAATTTAGTATTTGGAGCTTTACGAATCGCTTTTAATTAATTTGTCACGCGATTTATGAGAAAATATTCTTTTTTAAAGAATACACAAATGACTTCTTCAACAATATTCAAACACAGTTTAATTTCCAAGCTCATTTTCTAAAATATAAATATCTAAATATCTAGCTGAATATAAATTACAACGGAGATCTTTTACATATTCAATGTAAATTTAAAAGTGAAAATTTAGTATTATAAAGCTTTACGAATTGTTTTTATTCAATTTATGAAATAATTTACAAATGACATCTACAACATGTACAAAAAGCCACCAAGTATCACCTATTTTCTAAAATATAAATATCTAAATATCTTGTGGTATATTATCACATTATTACTTTCATGTTAATAACGAATTACGGTCTCGTAGTTACCCAGATTTTAATTTAGAAACTTTAATTTATCTGTGTGTGTTTGTATGGACACAATTTTTCGTCCACGTTTTCGGGAGCACGGATAAACCGATTTGGATAATTCCTGCACGGATAATTTTTTGGATAATATGGATATTGATATGATTATTAAGAAATTATGGGTGACATGGACATCTTTCTGCAATGTAAATATATCATAATCGATAATATAGTCGAGTAATATAAGATTGAAAACTGAAAGTAATAAGTATTAAATTTTTAAATGTGTATCTTCTTGATCTTGGCCAAAGACAAGTATTCCAAAGAGTATATTTAGTACGACTACTTCCGTGAACCGGCTCAGAAGCCTTTTAGACAATTAAGGTAAATATTTACTAAGCGCGTTCGCCTTATATCAACTTGAAGTCTCTCGCATCGTGTGTCGCGTAAATGCAGAATGTGACACAGTTTTAATGTTGTCTTGTTCCCATTCCCTCATGCTTCCGTACATAATTCCGTTTGCAAGAAGTCGATGTAAGTAACACAAATGCAATAAAAATTATTTAAGATGACACTGTCACAGGATGACCGTTGTCGGAGAAAGAAATTGTCATTGTAATGTAGTCAAATGGAAAATAATAGTTGAATTTAAACTTGATATGACAATATCTACTACTTTATTGTAACAGGAATAGGGTAGAGCAGGCATAGGGTAGTTTAAAAGTCCGCGGGTAAAAAGGTCTACCACTGATATCACAAAAATCAGTAAAGCTAAGAATTTTTTATTGAAATTTGAAAGTAGAGGGTAAAAGATGTATATCCAGATACCCTGATTTTTACGACGTTACTATCGGGAGAAAAACGGCAATTTAAAAATTCATAACAAAAGTATTTTCTTGCGATTTTATTTCCTTTGATTATGAGTTATGTGCTTAGTTTTTCAGACATTGTAACATAACATAATTTTAAAGTATACGTTAACATAAATTGTAACATTAACATAATTTTTAAGTATACGTTATTTAATTGTTTTATGAGAAGTAGTGTTAAATTTAAGTTATATTGAACAGTTTTTTTTATAACTTTTATAAAAGCTCTCACCTGGGTGGGTTAAAAGAGACCAACTATACCTTGACCTTGGCAAAGGTGTAAAAAATTACATAAATAGTTATTCAAACTTGGTTGATGAATATTTCTGACAAAATACCTGATCAATGTTCATTACTGTGTTATCTCTGAAAAAAAATGAATGAAATTTAATAATAAACTCATGAAATTTATATTTTGCATTAGTTGAATAATGTAGCTATTATTTTGTAAAAACCTTTTAAAATTAAAATAAAACATTGGAACTGTTTGCACCCTGGCCGTCTCAATTTACCCCGCCTATGGA